AAAGGGGTCAGCCAGTGAGACTGGGACAGGTGCTGTGAGTGGTGTGACTGTGGTGCAATCACGGAAGAAGCAACGTGACGCGCTGGAGTCAAGCGTGAAAGTGTGCAAGACCTCAGCTGAGGCAGGACCTGTGGTAGTAGACGCACTAGCAACTAGAGCGTCGGTAGACTCACGGGCACCTAGAGCTGCAGCAGACTCACTAGCACCTGGAGTGGCAACAGACTCACTAACACCTGGAATGGCAGCAGACTGACTAACACCTGGAGTGGCAGCAAACTCACTAACACCAAGAGCAGCGGTCTTGACAGAACGATAACCTCCACCACCAGGATGACCTCGCTGAATAACCCACTCACGAAGCTGCCGAGGGGTGGGGTCGTCCGGGAGAAGCAGTGCCCGCTGCTGTCCACCCCTGGCCGCAGCGACTGCCGCGGAAGTGGCCATGACAGACAGTGACTGTCAGGAGTAGGTCCAGCACCTCCAGCTCCTACAGCGCCAGCAGCACCTCCTACACTCCCAGCAGCACCTCCTCCACTTCCAGTAGCACAAGTAGCAGCAGCAGCAGCAGTAGTAACAGCAGCAGGGCGGTTCGGTGGGGGTGGGAGGCCGCACCTCCACCACTCCCAGTAGTACTCCCTCCAGTAGCAGCAGTAGCAGGGCGGCTCGGGCAGCAGCAGCAGACCGAGCAGCAGCAGCAGCAGTAGACCGAGTAGCACTAGCTGTAGCAGTAGTAGTTGCAGTAGCAGCAGCAGTGACAGCTCGGGCTGGGCGGCGCGGCTCGGACACAGTGGCAGAGCAGCAGTAGCACTAGCTGTAGCAAGTGCAGTAGTAGGAGCTGCAGCAGTAGCACTAGCTGTAGCAAGTGAAGTAGTAGGAGCTGCAGCAGTAGTACTAGCTGTAGCAGCAGTAGCTTCAGTCAAGCAGCAGTAGTTTCAGTCAGGAGCAGCTGTAGCAAGTGCTGGAGGAGGAGCTGCAGCAGTAGCACTAGCTGTAGCAAGTGCTGGAGTAGGAGCTGCAGCAGTAGCACTAGCTATAGCAGCACTAGCTTCAGTAGCAGCAGCAGTGAGTAGCGCTAGCTGTAACAGGAGTAGCGTCAGTAGCAGCAGCAGTGAGTAGCGCTAGCTGTAGTAGCACTAGCAAGGAGGAGCAGCTGCAGCAAGTAGCAGCAGCAGCGAGTGCAGCAGGAACACGGGCCGCGTGCGGGCCAGGCGCGGGCTGTAAGGGCTGCGTGCGGGCCTGGCGCGGGCTTTACGAGCTGGGTGCGGGCCTGACGTGGGCTGTACGGGCTGCGCGACGGCCTGGCGCGGGCTGTACGGGCTTCGCGACGGGCCTACGCAGGCTGTACGAGCTTCGCGACGGGCCTACGCGGGCTGTACGGGCTTCGCGACGGGCCTACGCGGGCTGTACTGGCAGCTAGGGCGCGGTCAGGGGGGGTCGCACGTGACTAGGAAGGAAAATCGTGTCTAGGGCAGAAAAAGGAACCGTCTCGCCTAGAGCACGGTTTCGAATTTCGCGTTTCTCCTAGGGGCGCGACTCGGGCAGTAGATCGAAATAGTAGTGGTGGGCACTTTTAAAAATTCGGTCCTAAGGAGCATTGTGCTCTTAATACCATGTTAGAATCACTAGCTAGGTGAGGAATGAGTGTGGATTAGGTAAGAGGGAGGGGGTACAAGGATGTCGAGAGAGTTGGGTTGTACCCTCTAAGGTGTGACCCTGCACAACCTAGAGTAAGAACATAACAATATGTTTTGACACATTTTTTTTTCTATGGAACAGGGGAAGCATCTAACGTTAAAGCCCGAGTACAGCATGGTAATTTTCAAGTTCAAGATTCTTGAACTTGAAGTCGCCAAAAACAGGGTTACCCTACTTGTTTTGAGAAAATTCTCGCGACCCCAGGCAATCGTCCTGCGACAACAGAACCCGAGTGCCCAAAACCAGAACTGACGCGATGATCGCCAACCATTTGTACTATTCACCACTCACATAACTTGCTCACCAAGTAGTACTCATATGCTAGGAGGCTCCAAGGCAAAAACTAGTGCTAGTTGGCAAAAGCGATTAGTTGATAGGCTTTTTTTTTGTGCGGAAGGAAATATAAGTCCACCTCGACCATCTTAGTCAGTGCACGCTCCGATCTCTCCCTCACGTCACTGGTCTCGTGTTACAACCCGTACACCCACGGCACTTACGTTAGTAAACGAGATTCACGTTACTCGAGTCTTGCTTTCAAGCTCGCGTCGCACACGCAGGCTCTTGTCACACTTGCTGCCATTCAGCCTCGTATCACGATCGTACCGTTTTAGGCACGGGTCGCTCACGCGAATGCCGTACTGGTTCGCGTGACGCACTCAGCCGTTAGTCGCACATGTTCCTCCTCGTCGGCCGCTCTTGCCTACGCCAGACCGCTTTCCTCGTCGCCCGCGCTTTCCCTCATCACCCTCCCCGACCCTCTGGTCGCATATGTTCCCCTAGTTGCCCGCGCTCTCCCACGTTAACCACACATCCCCTCGTCGCAATTGCTGATAGTAAACATACCGCGCTTCAGATCGTCACCCGTGCTCCCCTCATCACCCTCGTCGACCCGCACCGATCCTCGCCGCCCTCACCTCCCTTGGTCACCCACATTCCCTCTAGTCGCTCGCGCTTCCCCTCATCACCCGTGCCGACCCTCGCCGCCCTCGCCTCCCCTCGTCGCCCGCGCGTCCCGTCGTCGGGCTTGCCTCCCAGTCACTCGCGCTTCCCCTCGTCATCTGCGTTTCCATCCGCTCTTCCCCTCTCCCCATCTCACCATCTCCACCCGTCCTTCCTCCCTCATTCCTTCCGAAGGGGTGGGACAGATGGGGAGGAACAGATGGGGAGGAACAGATGGGGAGGAACAGATGGGGAGGAACAGATGGGGAGGAACAGACGGGGAGGAACAGACGGGGAGTAACAGAGATGGGGAGGAACAGATGGGGAGGAACAGAGATGGGGAGGAACAGATGGGGAGGAACAGATGGGGAGGAACAGATGGGGAGGAACAGATGGGGAGGAACAGATGGGGAGGAACAGATGGGGAGGAACAGATGGGTAGGAACAGATGGGAGGAACAGATGGGGAGGAACAGATGGGGAGGAACAGATGGGGAGGAACAGATGGGGAGGAACAGATGGGGAGGAACAGATGGGGAGGAACAGACGGGAGGAACAGATGGGGAGGAACAGATGGGGAGGAACAGATGGGGAGGAACAGACGGGAGGAACAGATGGGGAGGAACAGATGGGGAGGAACAGATGGGTAGGAACAGATGGGGAGGAACAGACGGGAGGAACAGAGATGGGGAGGAACAGATGGGGAGGAACAGATGGGGAGGAACAGATGGGGAGGAACAGATGGGGAGGAACAGATGGGTAGGAACAGACGGGAGGAACAGAGATGGGGAGGAACAGATGGGGAGGAACAGATGGGGAGGAACAGATGGGGAGGAACAGATGGGGAGGAACAGATGGGAGGAACAGAGATGGGGAGGAACAGATGGGGAGGAACAGATGGGGAGGAACAGACGGGAGGAACAGATGGGGAGGAACAGATGGGGAGGAACAGATGGGTAGGAACAGATGGGGAGGAACAGACGGGAGGAACAGAGATGGGGAGGAACAGATGGGGAGGAACAGATGGGGAGGAACAGATGGGGAGGAACAGATGGGGAGGAACAGATGGGGAGGAACAGATGGGGAGGAACAGATGGGGAGGAACAGATGGGAGGAACAGAGATGGGGAGGAACAGATGGGGAGGAACAGATGGGGAGGAACAGACGGGAGGAACAGAGATGGGGAGGAACAGATGGGAGGAACAGAGATGGGGAGGAACAGATGGGGAGGAACAGATGGGGAGGAACAGACGGGAGGAACAGAGATGGGGAGGAACAGATGGGGAGGAACAGATGGGGAGGAACAGATGGGGAGGAACAGATGGGGAGGAACAGATGGGGAGGAACAGATGGGTAGGAACAGACGGGAGGAACAGAGATGGGGAGGAACAGATGGGGAGGAACAGATGGGGAGGAACAGATGGGGAGGAACAGATGGGGAGGAACAGATGGGAGGAACAGAGATGGGGAGGAACAGATGGGGAGGAACAGATGGGGAGGAACAGACGGGAGGAACAGATGGGGAGGAACAGATGGGGAGGAACAGATGGGGAGGAACAGATGGGGAGGAACAGATGGGGAGGAACAGATGGGGAGGAACAGATGGGGAGGAACAGATGGGGAGGAACAGACGGGAGGAACAGAGATGGGGAGGAACAGATGGGGAGGAACAGATGGGGAGGAACAGATGGGGAGGAACAGATGGGGAGGAACAGATGGGGAGGAACAGATGGGGAGGAACAGATGGGGAGGAACAGATGGGAGGAACAGAGATGGGGAGGAACAGATGGGGAGGAACAGATGGGGAGGAACAGACGGGAGGAACAGAGATGGGGAGGAACAGATGGGAGGAACAGAGATGGGGAGGAACAGATGGGGAGGAACAGATGGGGAGGAACAGATGGGGAGGAACAGATGGGGAGGAACAGACGGGAGGAACAGAGATGGGGAGGAACAGATGGGGAGGAACAGATGGGGAGGAACAGATGGGGAGGAACAGATGGGGAGGAACAGATGGGGAGGAACAGATGGGTAGGAACAGACGGGAGGAACAGAGATGGGGAGGAACAGATGGGGAGGAACAGATGGGGAGGAACAGATGGGGAGGAACAGATGGGGAGGAACAGATGGGGAGGAACAGATGGGAGGAACAGAGATGGGGAGGAACAGATGGGGAGGAACAGATGGGGAGGAACAGACGGGAGGAACAGAGATGGGGAGGAACAGATGGGGAGGAACAGATGGGGAGGAACAGATGGGGAGGAACAGATGGGGAGGAACAGATGGGGAGGAACAGACAGGAGGAACAGAGATGGGGAGGAACAGATGGGGAGGAACAGATGGGGAGGAACAGATGGGGAGGAACAGATGGGGAGGAACAGATGGGGAGGAACAGAGGTGGTCGCTTCCGCCACCACAATCGAACAATGTTTTGATCCCCTCTCTGCTCCCCACCATCCTCCCCCCAACTCTCTCCCCAGCATCTGCCCCCGTTCCCCCCATCCTCTTCCCTGTTTCCCCGTATCCCCTGCCGTGCTTCCCCCCATCCTATCCCCTCTTACCCCGTATCCCCTGCCCTGCTTCCCCCCATCCCCTTCCCTGCTTCCCCTCATCCCCTTGCCTGCTTCCCCCCATCCCCTTCCCTGCTTCCCCTCATCCCCTTCCCTGCTTCCCCTCATCCCCTCCCCTGCTTTCCCCCATCCCCCTCCCTGTTTCCCCCCATCCCCTTCCCTTCTTCCCCCCATCCCCTCCCCTGCTTCCTCCCATCCCCTTCCCTGCTTCCCCCCATCCGCTTCCCTGCTTCACCCCATCCCCTCCCCTGCTTCACCCCATCCCGTCCCCTGCTTCCCCCCATCCCCTTCCCTGCTTCCCCCCATCACCTTCCCTGCTTCCCCCCATCCCCTGCCCTGCTTCCCCCCATCCCCCTCCCTGTTTCCCCCCATCCCCTTCCCTGCTTCCCCCCATCTCCTTCCCTGCTTCACCCCATCCCCTTCCCTGCTTCCCCCCATCCCCTTCCCTGCTTCCCCCCATCCCCTTCCCTGCTTCCCCCCATCCCCTTCCCTGCTTCCCCTCATCCCCTTCCCTGCTTCCCCTCATCCCCTCCCCTGCTTTCCCCCATCCCCCTCCCTGTTTCCCCCCATCCCCTTCCCTTCTTCCCCCCATCCCCTCCCCTGCTTCCTCCCATCCCCTTCCCTGCTTCACCCCATCCCCTCCCCTGCTTCACCCCATCCCATCCCCTGCTTCCCCCCATCCCCTTCCCTGCTTCCCCCCATCACCTTCCCTGCTTCCCCCCATCCCCCTCCCTGTTTCCCCCCATCCCCTTCCCTGCTTCCCCCCATCCCCTTCCCTTCTTCCCCCCATCCCCTTCCCTGCTTCCCCCCATCCCCTTCCCTGCTTCCCCCCCTGCTGCCTCCCATCACTCTCATTCTCCTTCCTCCCGCACTCACTCTCTCAGTCCTCTCGCACACTCTCTCTCTCCGTCCTCTCGCACTCGCATCTCCTTCCCACCACCCTCAGCCCTCCTTCCCCTCACCCTCTCCCCTGTTCCCACCTGCCCTCCCCATCCCTGCCCTGCCCTTCCCTTCTCCATCCCTTCTCAACCCTTCCCTTTCATGTCATGCCCTCCCCTTCACCCTCACCTTCCGCCCTCCGGTTACCATGCATGTGCACCCATCACTGTCTCCCCATACCGGTACATGCTTTCATCATGTGCGCTTGCTTGTGTTCCCCTGCAGTTGTTCCCTTGGCACCTCACACCACCTCCCCCATGTTCCGTCACACAATTCTTTCTGCCTACTCCACTCCCCAAATTTTCAGTGGTGAAGCAGAGGAGCAAGCTGAGGCGCAGCTAGAGCTAGTCCATGCTTTACGCCATACCACCACCTATTTCTTGTGTGTTGTATGCAAGCATGATACTGTATTACTGTTGGAGATATCCATCTCAAAAGCACTATATGTTTCTGCAGTGCAAGATATTCTTCCAAGATGCATGGGCACCAAGAGTGTTAGAAGGGTAGATAGAGGCATGATCCTACTTTTGATTGTACCCTTCTCAAGGCCTTGAAAAAAACATGAGAGATGGGATGATGGGCTTCGGCAAGTTGCTGTGCCAGAAAATCTTCATTGGTGTCACTCCACTACCCAGGGAGAGGGAGGGAATACGAAGGATGGGGAGGGGGAACAAGACTAAAGTCAAACAGGGGAGATAGGGAAGAGGGGGAAGAGGGAAGCAGGGCTGAGAGGGAAAGAAGGAAGTACCGTAAGAAGAGGGAGGATAGGGAAGAGGGGAGATAGGAAGAGGGGGAGAGGGAAAGTGTGAGATAGGAAGATGAAACGAGGTGAAGAAGAGGGGGAAACGAGGGGAAGCAGGGGGGGAAACGAGGGAAAGCAAGGGGGGAAACGAGGGGAAGCAGGGGGGGAAACGAGGGAAAGCAAGGGAGGGAAATGAGGGGCCAGCAGCGGGGAAAATGAGGGGAAGCGGGGGGGGTGGGGGGAGGGAAATGAGGGGAAGCTGGGGGGAAAATGAGGGAAGCAGGAGGGTACAAACAGGGATAGCAGGGAGGGAAATGAGGTGAAGCAGTGAGAGAAATGAGGTGAAGCAGTGAGGGAAATGAGGTGAAGCAGTGAGGGAAATGAGGTGAAGCAGTGAGGGAAATGAGGTGAAGCAGCGAGGGAAATGAGGTGAAGCAGGGAGGGAAATGAGGTGAAGCAGTGAGGGAAATGAGGTGAAGCAGTGAGGGAAATGAGATGAAGCAGGGAGGGAAATGAGGTGAAGCAGTGAGGGAAATGAGGTGAAGCAGTGAGGGAAATGAGGTGAAGCAGTGAGGGAAATGAGGTGAAGCAGTGAGGGAAATGAGGTGAAGCAGTGAGGGAAATGAGGTGAAGCAGTGAGGGAAATGAGGTGAAGCAGTGAGGGAAATGAGGTGAAGCAGGGAGGGAAATGAGGTGAAGCAGGGAGGGAAATGAGGTGAAGCAGGGAGGGAAATGTGGGGAAGCAGGGAGGGAAATGAGGTGAAGCAGGGAGGGAAATGTGGGGAAGCAGGGAGGGAAATGAGGTGAAGCAGGGAGGGAAATGTGGGGAAGCAGGGAGGGAAATGAGGTGAAGAAGGGAGGTAAATGTGGAGAAGCAGGGAGGGAAATGTGGGAAAGCAGGGAGGGAAATGAGGTGAAGAAGGGAGGGAAATGTGGGGAAGCAGGGAAGAGGGGGAGAAAGGGAGGGCCATGGGCCTAGAGGGCCGTGAGAGAGGGGGGGGTGGACAGTGGCAGGCTGGAGGGGAGCAGGAGAGGAGGAGGGAAGTGGCATGGGGAGCAGAGCAGAGCAGCATTGCGACCTGCCTGCAGCAGTGCGACCTGCCTGCAGCGTCATCCCCCACAGCGGAGATGAGGAAGGGCGCGGCGGAGAGTGCTGCCATGCACTCCGCTATGTTGTGCGCCACCCCCCCTGCGAGGAGGAACAGGGGAAGGGCGCGGCGGGCAGAGAGAAAGGAAGGAGGAGGGGGAGAGTGGGAGAGGGAGAGAGGTTGAGACATGCCGCAGTGGACGACACTCCACCCTCCTCCCTGCCTCGTGTGGGAGGAAGAAAACGGGTGGGGGAAAGGGAGGAAGGGGAAAACCATGAGGGGTAGGGGTTGGAAAGGGGCGGGGGGCGGGTGGAGGTTTGGCGAGAAGGCGCAGAGCATAGGGCGCAGAGCATAGGGCGCAGAGCATAGGGCGCAGAGCATAGGGCGCAGAGCATAGGGCGCAGAGCATAGGGCGCAGAGCATAGGGCGCAGAGCATAGGGCGCAGAGCATAGGGCGCAGAGCATAGGGCGCAGAGCATAGGGCGCAGAGCATAGGGCGCAGAGCATAGGGCGCAGAGCATAGGGCGCAGAGCATAGGGCGCAGAGCATAGGGCGCAGAGCATAGGGCGCAGAGCATAGGGCGCAGAGCATAGGGCGCAGAGCATAGGGCGCAGAGCATAGGGCGCAGAGCATAGGGCGCAGAGCATAGGGCGCAGAGCATAGGGCGCAGAGCATAGGGCGCAGAGCATAGGGCGCAGAGCATAGGGCGCAGAGCATAGGGCGCAGAGCATAGGGCGCAGAGCATAGGGCGCAGAGCATAGGGCGCAGAGCATAGGGCGCAGAGCATAGGGCGCAGAGCATAGGGCGCAGAGCATAGGGCGCAGAGCATAGGGCGCAGAGCATAGGGCGCAGAGCATAGGGCGCAGAGCATAGGGCGCAGAGCATAGGGCGCAGAGCATAGGGCGCAGAGCATAGGGCGCAGAGCATAGGGCGCAGAGCATAGGGCGCAGAGCATAGGGCGCAGAGCATAGGGCGCAGAGCATAGGGCGCAGAGCATAGGGCGCAGAGCATAGGGCGCAGAGCATAGGGCGCAGAGCATAGGGCGCAGAGCATAGGGCGCAGAGCATAGGGCGCAGAGCATAGGGCGCAGAGCATGGGGCGCAGAGCATAGGGCGCAGAGCATGGGGCGCAGAGCATGGGGCGCAGAGCATAGGGCGCAGAGCATGGGGCGCAGAGCATAGGGCGCAGAGCATAGGGCGCAGAGCATAGGGCGCAGAGCATAGGGCGCAGAGCATAGGGCGCAGAGCATAGGGCGCAGAGCATAGGGCGCAGAGCATAGGGCGCAGAGCATAGGGCGCAGAGCATAGGGCGCAGAGCATAGGGCGCAGAGCATAGGGCGCAGAGCATGGGGCGCAGAGCATAGGGCGCAGAGCATGGGGCGCAGAGCATGGGGCGCAGAGCATGGGGCGCAGAGCATAGGGCGCAGAGCATGGGGCGCAGTGCATAGGGTGCAGAGAATAGGGCGCAGATCGCAGGGCGCATAGCGCAGAGCGAAGGGGGCAAAGCGCAGGGGGCGGAGGGGGCAGAGCGCAGAGTGCAGGGGCGCGGAGCACGTGTACCTGTCCTGGCGTGGTGGTGCCTTGTTCCAGCGCCCTCTCCACGCTGCTTGTCGACCAGAATAGTGCGCGCGCTGGACGTTTGCGAGTTGACGCGCTGCTAGACGACCAGTGGCGCGAGCTGTGCGTAAACCGGTGAGGGGGATGGTCGTCTCTGTATTTCGCGCCCTGCTACCCGCCTGTGGGCGCCCGGTGGCTGACAGAGTAGAATTGCGTAACCCTAAGTGTCTGCGTATTGTGGACGCCCCCAGCGTGGCATTGCCCTAAGTAATAGGCACTTTCGAGCCCAATATACGTTCGCAATGCCCCGAAATTGTCGACCTACGTGCTGCCAGAGGCAATCGATGTGCCAGAGGCCATATCGCGCTGTGTCGCGCTCTTCTCAACGCTCATTCCTGCGACTCAGCATGTACGTTTTCTGGCATGTCACCTTCGTTTGCACGTTCCCTTGTTGTTAGCTCCTGCGGTTATTTCACACGAAGTAGTTAGCTTGAATGATCGTGGTGTTCTTTCTCCTCACTCGTGTTGGTGCTTCCCGTTTTCGTTTTTGCTAGTAGTCGCATTGTGCGTGGACCTTCTCCACTACTTGAACCTGATTGGCTGAAGAACAATCCTTACGACACTCCTTCCAGTCGCCCCACACTGCTTGCAAATCCGTCAAAGCTGCACAGTATCGTTCACCATCGCTTCACGTTTGGCGAGACCCCTTTCCCCCTCGTAAATCAATATTTTTCTCGCTCCACTGACTTTGCCGAAATTATTGTTTTTCAAGGTTTCGCCAACACTATTTCAAACCCACATAACTTGATAAATTACCATGCTGACCCCGGGCTTTAACTAAGCAAGGGCACTACCAGCTCTTTCACTTCTTGCCTCCCTTGCCACCCTTTCCCCCCTTTCCACCCTTGCCTCCCTTTCCACCCTTGCCACCCTTCACACTCTGAGTAGTAGCTAAGTTGGAACTGCCAGGTCCTCCCTGCACCCCGCCAGGTCCCCCCTGCTGTCCTCCCTGATCACCGCCCTGCCCCCCCTGTTGCCCCCCTTGTTTTCCGCCCTGTTGTCCGCCCTGCTGTCCTTCCTGCGGTCCGCCCTGCTGCCCGCCGGGTCCGCCTTGCTGACCGCCCCGCTGGCCGCCGAATCCGCCTTGCTGTCCGCCATGTCCTCCCTGCTGTCCGCCAGGTCCGCCCTGCAGGCCGCCCTGCTGCCCGCCCTGCTGCCCGCCCTGCTGTCCGCCTTGCTGGCCGCCGGGTCCGCCCTGCTGCCCGCCCTGCGGTCCGCCCTGCGGCCCGCCCTGCAGCCCGCCCTGTTGTCCGCCCTGCTGTCCGCCCTGCTGTCCGCCCTGCTGTCCGCCCTGCTGGCCGCCCTGCTGGCCGCCAGGCCCGCCCTGCTGTCCGCCAGGTCCGCCCTGCTGCCCGCCCTGCTGCCCGCCCTGCGGTCCGCCCTGCTGCCCGCCCTGCTGCCCGCCCTGCTGCCCGCCCTGCTGCCCGCCAGGTCCGCCCTGCTGTCCGCCAGGTCCGCCCTGCGGTCCGCCCTGCTGCCCGCCCTGCTGCCCGCCGTGCGGTCCGCCCTGCTGCCCGCCCTGCTGCCCGCCCTGCGGTCCGCCTTGCTGGCCGCCAGGTCCGCCCTGCTGCCCGCCCTGCTGCCCGCCAGGTCCGCCCTGCTGGCCGCCGCCGGGTCCGCCCTGCTGGCCGCCAGGTCCGCCCTGCTGGCCGCCGCCGGGTCCGCCCTGCTGGCCGCCGGGTCCGCCCTGCTGTCCGCCGGGTCCGCCCTGCTGTCCGCCGGGTCCGCCCTGCTGTCCGCCGTGTCCGCCCTGCTGTCCGCCGGGTCCGCCCTGCTGTCCGCCGGGTCCGCCCTGTCCGCCGGGTCCGCCCTGCTGTCCGCCATTGCCGCCGCCCAGGTCTCCACCACCTCCGCCGCCCAGGTCTCCGCCACTTCCCCCGCCCAAATCTCCGCCACTTCCACCGCCCAAATCTCCGCCACTTCCGCCGCCCAAATCTCCGCCACTTCCGCCGCCCAAATCTCCGCCACTGCCGCCGCCACCCAAATCAACTTCATTGCCGTCTCCCAAATCAACAGTTATCAAAACTGGTCTGATTGCTGTTGCCTTTAGAAGTGATTGGGCTTTAAGAGCAAGACTGCGGCGCGGGGCGAGGGACCTCGCGGATCCTGCGCCGATGAACAAGACACACTTATTTATCGTACCGTCTAACCCCGGATATAAGCTCCACGGCGCTTATAATAAAATCGGTTTTTTTAGGGGTGGCGCTTGTAATTGAATAACGGCCATAAGCGCGGGCGCTTATATAATGGCAAATAAAAAATTATACTCTTAGGGTACCAAATTGTATATTTCATTGTTGCCATTTCAACCGAGTCGAAACAATTTTGCATCACAAAGCAGAATCGCGCGGAAACGATTCTGCTTCCTCCACACAGACAAAGTCACGTCACCTTGCAGGCATGCCAGCACATCCTGACTGGACGCGCAGCCAGTCAGGTCTTCGCGAGTCAAACGACTCGAAATTGAAATAGGACTCGCTGCAAAAAAGAAACTCGTTACCGATTTAAACAGTATTTTAAATGAAAATGGTAAGGGCGCTTATAATAAGTAAAGGTTTTCCAGGGGGGGCGCTTATAATCGAATTCCGGCCATAAGCGCCATGCTCCAGATAGAAGCGCCGGCGCCTGTAATCGGACGGCGCCTATATCCGGGGCCATACGGTAAATGTCGATTTGGATAGAATGCACGATAAGGGCGCAAGTTAAAATGGAATTGAAAGAACAAATTGGGAAAATGGAGGAAAAACGAACTGGAAATGACTGTGATTTGAGGACAGAAAAGTGTGCACTAAAGTGGGACACTCACCCGGCGTTACAAACGCCGACGCCGCTAAAAGCGCAAGCAGAAGAAGAGCCAACGCCGTGACTCGAATTTTGCAGCCCATCGTGCAGGAACGATTCTCTCCGCTTCCGAGCACACTTGGTAGTAGTAGACGGGGACGAGCTAAAAAACAGTGGAAATGTGCGAGTGGCGAGAGCTCGATTTGCGAGAAGTGTTAGAATCTTAGGCAAGGATGATGCATTGGGTGAAAGTTGGGGTACAAGACTAGGGTGTCGAGAAGTTTTCTGTACCCCCTAAGGCTAGCCCCAATATAGCCTAGACAATAACATGCATATATTTTGACAAGAAGCTCAAGTGAGAGTACTGAGGATGATACTTATGAGAGTGACGGGTGCATGTTTTTATACTACAATTGATGCCCAACGAGTGCACGCGAATTTGCCTTGCGCCGGATGGAAACGCTGCACCGAGGTTGTTTCCCCAACCTGTTGCTCCCATGTTACAAGCGCGTCGCGTGGTTATCAACCAATAGTAACGAACAGACCGAGGTCAAGCAGAAGAGACTGAAGTCAAATAAGGTAACAGATCTTGTTTATAAGCACCTGCGAATCCTTTTTAGCTAGCTGCGAATTGACGAAACTTATGCGAAATGCTCGTTACAGCTTATACGCCCCCTTCACAAGGCAACCGGGAGGGGCTCAAACATGCATCAATTGTAATGTTGGTGGTGGGGAGGGAACGCGGTCACGCGGCTCGAAAGCGTTTTCGCCGGTGTGGGAGGATGCGATTAGTTTTGGCGGGACAATCTATTTCCCGCCAGGTCAAATCCGCGACTTGCGCCTCTAGCTCAGGTTTCGTAGGCGCATTTCAGGACAGGGAGATTGTACAAAAAAATATTTGCGATGTGTTACAATCCCAGCCTGCGACGCCAAAATGACTCGCAAATGCGGTTCCGACTGTTCCGCCGTGCTGCTTGGTCACGCAAACCACAGTGGGCCCTGGGCCCACACCTGAGGAATTGTTGAAGTTCGTTGACCGCTTCCCTGGTTGAAACCTGGGCACTAGGAAAGCGGTTGACGCGGCAGGCCCGCGGGTTGCGCAAGTGCCACAGCAATGCCATGAACGTGAAACGCGTAATATTGGTTACACATGATGATAACGTGAACATGCACCTAAAAATTTGGGTATCACATGATGATACACTTAAACCTCTGAACACCTAGAGATAATTTGAAGCTCAGTTTGTTCATGACATTGTGCTAGTTTCATTTGCCATGTTGTGCGTAAGGGTACGTTCTTGGCTGGTGTCTAGCTTCGGGCCAAGTTCTCCTGGTGTCAGGCCCCTCTAGCGAGGTCTGACACAAATTTTAGATATTCCCTCATGCCCGTCAATACCACTTCGTATCAAGCAGCTTGGCCCGAAGCTTGACACCAGCTAAGAAAGTACCCTAACTAGCAGAGGCTATGGTTGTTATCCAACAACCCGAGGTTGAATTTGAGCTCAAATTTCTCAGCAGCAACTATCAGCTATATAGTGACTAACATCCCACGTACTGCTTGGGCAAGTAATTACCACATCAGGGCCCTACATTGGTTTTGTGCTCCGCGCCATGGCTGCCTACATTGGTTCCGATTGGGCTCATGGCGAAGTCTATGCTTTGTGACGCAGCATGTGACTAGTGTTTGTGAGGGGTGATGTGAGGTTCTAGGGAGGTACATTCTTGGACTTTGCTCCACCTGTAGATCTGTGGGTGTTTTTGTTTGCGGGTAGACTTGCCGCGAATAAAAAAAGGGGGCAAAGAGGTCAAAATAGAATGCCATGCAATGTCGTCTACAAGCATGGCATGTCGCCCAGGCAGAAAGTTTGCACAACACGGGACCTTAGTACTACTACAAAGTAAATTTACAAGTTTTAGCCTAGTCTTGCGGATTGACACTGTGCAATAAAGCACTAACAGAAACCCGAAAGGGCACAACCAGCTCAGCTTCACTTTTTTCCACCCTTGACACCCTTTCCCCCTTTTCCACCCTTGCCGCCCTTTCCTCCCTTTCCTCCCTTTCCTCCCTTCCCACCCTTTCCCCCCTTCCCACCGACATTGCTCTTTGTGCCCGTACCGCCTACAATCTGAGGAGTAGCGATCCCGCCAAATTCCCCGTGCTCCCCGCCAGCACCCCCCTCAACCCCGCCAGATCCGCCCTGATCCCCGCCAACACCCCCTTGCCCCTGCTCCCCCCCAACACCCCCCTGCTCCCCGCCAGCACCGCCCTGCTCCCCGCCAGCACCCCCCTGCTGTCCGCCGCCCCCCCCCTGCTGTTCCCCGGAACCCCCCTGCTCTCCGCCAAGACCCCCCTGCTGTCCGTCAGGTCCGCCCTGCTGTGCGCAGACTCTCGCTTGTTTCCCTCCAGGACCGCTCTGATCCCCGCCAGGATCGCTCGAACCTCCGCCACGACCGCCTGATTCTCCGCCAGCATCACCGCCAGTGATTTCGCTTAAGTGTGCGCCATCGCCGCGACTCAAGTTGTTAGCAGCCAGAAGAATCGATTTGCTTGGTGCTACATTTAGGAACGAGTGAATTCTCAGATTGAGACCGCGGCTTAGAGCGATGCTCCTCGCGGATGCTGCACAGATGATAGAAGACACGTCGATTGGATCCCACCAAAATGGATCCGTCGAGATGGATCAAGACAAACAGTCGGGCGGAACGGAGGCCAGTCGAGAATGTATGGAAGAGCGCGAAAGACATTTGAGGGGAAAACAAGAGTAACGAAGTACAATCATAGGAACAAAGAGGAAGAAAATCTGAGCAGAGGCCAAAGTTGGGCATGTGAAGGACTCACCAGGCGCTATAAACGCCGACGCCGCGAAAAGCGTTAGCATCGCGGAAATGCTAAGGGCCCAAAGTCACAGAAATGTAACTTTTCCGTGACTTTTCCGTGACTTTTTTGCGTGACGGAAAAGTCATGGTCAGAAGTACCAAAAACTCAAGTCACAGAAATGTCACGTTGGAGTCCCGAAATTTCGTACAGAAAGTCACTGAAATGTGACCGGCAAAGTGATGTTCTCGTCACTTTTTTGTTTCACATGCCACGTGGCGAGCTGGCGTTACATCTTTCTAGATATTTTGCCAGGTGTCCATGTTGGTGATTGGCCAAAATGGACCAAACATATGTCTGTGATGGGTGTGCCTAAACGTAATTTGATTGGCTAGCGATTCAGAATAACGACCGCATATCGCACACGAAAAACAGCATCGCATTGAACACGTCGGAAATTCAAAAGAGCACAACCAGGGCTTCCATTGGTGTTTTTCATAATTCGTTACAATTTAAACGCGTACATTGACATAGCACCACAACCTCACGTCTGCACAAATTGCACGTCCATATGGACACATAGCTAACCCGCTCTACATTAAAGCTATTTAGTAACTAAGCCGACCAGATGAGGTAGTTTGGAGCCGACAAGATGAGGTCGGACGGGACTTGATGACACCATGAAATTCAAACACGGATCGGTTTGGTGCCTGCATAAAAAGCGTCAAACGTTATGGAAACTGCAATCAAGGCAACAGCAAAAGATCGTGACACGTGAGAGAATAAAAGAAACAACGAGAACATCTCGACGAATAAAACATGCCCCAGAGGCAAATATACTCACGCCCATGGAGATACACAAGCCAGGTTGGCAAAGGTCACCTCGCGCAGCTCCAGCGCTCCCTAGCACGCCAAAGGCCGTGGTGAATGGAGCCTCGTGCGAGCCCAACTGCACGACGTGCCCCGGCTGCAGCACGGCGATGCAGTGCGCGCAGCGCACGGAGAGGCGGTGGGCGACGACGAGCGTGGTGCGCGCGCCCATGAGCGCATTGAGCGCAGCCTGCACCGCCTGCTCGCTCTCCGCGTCCAAAGCCGACGTCGCCTCGTCCAGCAGCAACACCCGCGGATTCCGCAGAATCGCGCGCGCGATCGCCACGCACTGCTTCTGCCCCCAGACACCTGCGTATCTCGCTCCCCTCCCTGCGTCTCGTAGCCCTGCGGGGGGAGGGGGAGGGTAAGGAGAGAAGAGAGAGGTTAAGATGCGAGTGAGTGGGAGGCGGAAACGGAGGGTAAGGGGGAACGGAAAGCAGAGCAGGGGTAAGAGGGAGAGGCGAAGGGCGGAGGAGAGACGGCCGAAGGAGAGACGCGAGCGCACTTACGCCGTGCAGGAAGGAGATGAAGTGGTGGATGTTGGCGAGTCTGAAGCGCATGAAGATGGGCACGTCCAGGCGCTAGGGGTACGCAAAGGTCACCTCGCGTGGCTCCATTGCTCCCTCACACTCCAGCTAACCCTGAAAATATATGGGGAATGGAGGTGGGAGGGGAGGGCAGAAGCAGAGGGAGATAGGAGCGAGTGGGTTTATATATGAAAAAATCATGAGGGACCCGAAATGTAGGGACAGTTAGCGCAACCTAGTTTCAGAATGCTAGCTCCTTATAGTGGATGTATTATATTGGCGATGCGAACTATTAAGAAACGGAGCGCTTGGAAAGAGGTATTTAGAGAGCTGGAGGGTGACTAGATCTTCAGGACATAGAGCATTGCGAGGAGCAAGAGGAGTAGAGGCGGACTGATGCCTCGCGGCGTTTTGCAGCCCATCGTGGCGGAATGATGATCTTCGCTTGCCCGGACTTACATGACTTAGAAAAAAAAAAGAGGTCAACCGGAGATGATGAGTGACGACAGCTCTAGGGCGAGTATAGCGCATATGTTTACAGTTCATACGCCGTCGCTGCGCAAGACGATGACGGTGCACAGCGGTTATCACGCTTCACCGTTTTCCATCGCCACGAAACAAGATTGGCCGCACAGAACGAACGTGGGACGAACGCACCGGACACGATCTAACGTGAGTATAGGCTCCACTGACGGGAAGGTACGAAATGTGAGTGATGATATGCCCGGAATGGGGTGAGGAGGATGACTTACGGGGTGAGAAAAACGCACTGATGAGTGCGTTTTTCTTGTGGGTGCGAACGCGGCTCGAAAGCGATAATGTCATAGTGGGAGGAGGGAGAGGATGCAATGCAATGTGATTGTCTAGCTGGATAATATTTATTCGCGCCAGGTCAAATCCGCAGGTTGGGCTCAGCTGATGTTTCGCAGGAGAGTTTTGCGACAGGGAGAACTGACAGTGTTATTTGAACGACGGGTAACATTGCTAAAAATGATCGCAATGAACTTCCGACTGTTACGCAAACCTGCGATTTGGGTTATGGGAAAGCGACTGATGAGGCAGCCCGCAAAACGCGCAACTGGGTACCAGCGAATTACATGCGATAATGAAACATCCGATTCTATACGTACCTATCAACTTCCACCCTCGGAAAAGTAAAACTTATATGAACATCTTCAATGTGCAAAATGTTTTATTAGTGGAGAAGGCGTTACGCTTGGTGAATTATGATTATAGCACATTTCGGCTGAGACTATGCTATGCAGATAGTATCTTCACAGCAAAAATCACAAAACAAGCACAAAACCTAAACATGGAAAATCTTCACCACTTCTCGAATGGGAGCTCGGCACACAGGGCAGCCCCAGCCCTTGGATCTAACCTCAGTGAGACACTCCACACACCCCGCCACATGCCCGCAGGGCACACACACTGAAAGCGCTGCTGAGTCCCAACAAATCACACACCGACCCTCTTTAGACGCCCCTGCTGCTGCTGCTGCTGCTGCTGCTGCTGCTGCTGCTGCTGCTGCTGCTGCTGCTGATGATGATGATGATGGTGCCCCTCCTGTTGTTGCTACTCCTGCCTTTGCCTCTGCTCCTACTTCTGCTCCTGTTGCTGCTGCTCCTACTTCTTCTCCTGCTCCTACTCCTGCTCCTGTTCCTGCTCCTGCTCCTGCTGGTGCTGCTGCCGGGGCTGCTGGCGTTGACGAATGTGGTCCTACTGCTGCGGAAGCAGGAGCGTCCACTGGGGGTGCTGACGATGGGCCGGAGGCAAAGAGCAACGACACGGCTGCTGCTGGTGCTCGGTTGAGCGCCGGTGCCACAGAGGAGAACTGATTCGCAATCTCGTCGCGCATTCGACCCCCTTCCGCCCCTGCTGCAGCAAAGCCAGCTGTTCCGGCTGTACTGGCTGAACCAGCTGCAGTGCCAGCAGCAGGACCAGCGGCAATGCCAGAAGAAGTGCCAGCAGCAGCGGAGGAAGAGGGGATGGGGGCAGCAGGTGGGACAAACGGGTGGCGGTCAGCAGAGGCTGAAACGGACCTGGAAGAACGATGCAACGCAGTGAATGAGTCGGTGGCCGCAGCCGCAGCAGAAGAGGAGGAGGAGAGGGAGCGGCCAGATCTGGGCTGGGGCTCGGAGGAGGAATAGGTGAGAATAAAGCCGTCTGCTCCTTCCTCCCCTCTGCTCATGCCCTGGGCAGCAGTGGAAGTGGAACCAGAAGCACCAGGGGCATCGGCTCGGGCAGAGCTGGCAATGCTGGCGGTGCGCATCGACTCAGAGAGCGCCAGCTGGAACGCCGTGTCCTCGTCCACGTCATCCTGCCATGCGTGCACGTTCACCACGCGCCTGAATTCCTCTCCGCTTTGCTGACCCCCTCTCCCTGATCCTGACGCCCCTGTCAGAATGTTATATTATTTAGCCTGCAGTGGGGTGCTCTATAGCGAGTACAACCCAGTTAGGGTTTGCTATATGTATCCAACTGCTTGCTAGTGAACTCCCTCCTTTCTTCATTCTTGTTTCTGCCTACTTACTTTAACAGCCCCCCCTCCTGCTCCTGCTGCTGCCACTGGTCCTGCTCCTGCTGCTCCTGATCCCCCCAGCTGCTGCTGTGCCTGCAGTGTGGTTCAGAATTGTGAGTGTGTGGTACTTGTGAAGGGGCATGTTCAGGGGATGTTCATGTGCAAGTGCAAGTGCAAGTGCATGTTGTATATTTCACTGCATGGATCGGCATGAGTGCATGTGCGTACTGCTGAGAGAACACCTCCCCCCTCTACGGAGCATGCAGAAGAAGAGTGAGGAGAGACAGGAGGAAAGAGTGGGAGGGAGGAAAGAGAGAGAGGGAGGAAAGAGTGAGAGGGAGGTAAGATTGAGAGGGAGGGAAGAGTGAGAGGGAGGGAAGAGTGAGAGGGAGGGAGGAGTGAGAGGGAGGGAGGAGTGAGAGGGAGGGAAGAGTGAGAGGGAGGGAAGAGTGAGAGGGAGGGAAGAGTGAGAGGGAGGGAGGAGTGAGTGTGAGAAGGGGAAAGGAGTGAGAGGGAGGGAAGAGTAAGAGGGAGGGAAGAGTAAGAGGGAGGGAAGAGTGAGAGGGAGGGAAGAGTGAGAGGATGGTAAGAGTGAGAGGGAGGAAAGAGTGAGAAGGGGAAAGGAGTGAGAGGGAGGGAAGAGTGAGAGGGTGGAAAGAGTGACAGGCAGGAAAGAGTGAAAATGAGGAAAGTGTGAGAGGGTGGAAGAGTGAGAGGGTGGAAAGAGTGAGAGGGTGGAAAGAGTGGGAGGGTGGAAAGAGTGAGAGGGAGGGTAGCATGAGAGATGAGGGACGAGTGAGAAAAAAAGGAAGAGTGAGAGGAGGAAGGATTGTTAGGAGGGAAGAATGAGGGGATAGAAGGGGGAGAGGGAAGAGAGGAATCACCCGTGGCGTTCCTCGGCAGGCGTAGTGCAGGCGCAATATCTGGGAGGGGTCGGGTGAGCTTTTGAGTCGACTCAAAATCACATAGAGAGTGAGTGGAGAGAAAAGAGAGGGTGGAGGGCGGGAGGAGTCACCCGTGGTGTTCCACGACAGGCGTCGTGCAGGCGGAATATCTGCGAGGGGTCGGGTGAGTCCGAGTCGCTCACGAACTTCAACTTGCCATTATCCCCTGCCATAGAGGGATGCATGCAGGCACACGTGTGTGAACATGCACGCACACGTGTGTGAACATGCACGCACACGTGTGTGAACATGCACGCACACGTGTGTGAAAATGCACGTACACGTGTGTGAACATGCATGCACAGGTGTGTGAACGTGCATGCGCAGGTGTGTGAACATGCGCGCACACGTGTGCGAACATGCAGGCACACGTGTGCGAACATGCAGGCACACGTGTGCGAACATGCAGGGACACGTGTGTGAACATGCATGCACACGTGTGTGAACATGCATGCATACGTGTGTGAACATGCACACAGGTGGGCATGTGAGATAATCATTAACACATATGGATGGGCACACACAGGCATAAAGTGCAATAAACACAGCATTAACCACACAGAGAGAGCAGAGACATGCCGAATTATGAGACATCTAAAAAATCAGACACACAGAACAAAGATATCCCATTAGCAACACAGCACGGAAAGATGAGAGCTCAGCTGCCAGTTCCCCCAGGAGAAATGAATAAGAGAAGAAATATTCACAGAGAGAACAAAGAATTGCACAGAGCGTTGGAAAGAGTAGAATGAAAGGAAAGAGTAGAATGAAAGGAACGAGTAGAATGAAAGGAAAGAGTAGAATTGAAAGAGGAGGTCTTATACCATGAACGGGGTCCTCTATAACGAGTACAGGGTTGGCGGAGTCCAGCTTGGTCATGTGAATGCGGCACACGTGTAGTGCTATGTTGAAATAGGGCGCGCCAAACTGCAACAAACAGGGAGGGAGGGAGGGAGGGAGGGGGCGGGGGGTGTAGTACGTCGATTTTTTAGTCGACTGAAAAATCGACTTACTGTGGGCGGGGGGTGGGCTCTTCGCAACGTGCGTGCAGTCCAGCTTGGTCATGTGAATGCGGCACACGTGCAGTGCTATGTCGAAATAGAGTGCTCTTAATTGCAAGGGGTTGTGGGCGGGTTTGGAGGGGGGAAGGCGGGGTTGGGGAACTCTCAGGAGGCGCCTCAAAGGCACAGGCAGTGCTATGTTGGAATAGGGCGCTCCAAACTGCAGTGAGTTGGGGGGCGAGGGAGAGGGGGAGAGGAGGGACACATGTTGAGATGGCGCAAAGGCATGTGTACAGCTATGTAAAAAAAAGGCGCGCCAAAGAGGAGGGGCCACAAAAGCACGTGCAGAACTACGTCAAAATACGGCACGCGAAACTGCAGCAGGTCGTGCATGCACTCACAGCCATGCACTCACTGCCATGCACTCACAGCCATGCACTCACTGCCATGCACTCACTGCCATGCACTCACTGCCATGCACTCACAGCCATGCACTCACTGCCATGCACTCACTGCCATGCACTCACAGCCATGCACTCACTGCCATGCACTCACTGCCATGCACTCACAGCCATGCACTCACTGCCATGCACTCACAGCCATGCACTCACTGCCATGCACTCACTGCCATGCACTCACTGCCATGCACCCACTGCCATGCACCCACTGCCATGCACTCACTGCCATGCACTCACTGCCATGCACCCACTGCCATGCACTCACTGCCATGCAAGCAAGCATTGAAACCTATGCATGCATGCAGGCACTCACAGCCATGGATCGGTAGAGAGCGAGGCGGAATGTCTGGCGTCCGTCACTCATGGTGGGCCCTGGAAGCACTGCCACCCAGCTGCACAGGCATGGGCGGAGAGCGGTGGAGCGGGGTGGAGAGGGATGGGAAGGATAGGAGAGGGGTGGAGAGGGGTGGTGAGAGGTGACAACATGGACAGGGGATGGCAGAAATGATACAGACAAAGACAAACGACACTGGGAAAACAGCACCGACGAAAATCAGACTCACACAATCGCCTGTACACTCATGGCCATTGAAAAGGCAAAAGCACTCACATTCTAAATTCTTTCACTAGCGACGGCGCCGAGAGGGTCTGCTGGCGCACATAGCCTTCGAACAATGCCACCCGGCTCTGATGGGGCAACCTGCCAGACAGAGGAGAACAGGGTGGGGGAAAAAGGGGGATAGGAGAGTTGCAAAAGTGCTGAGAGGTTCTGCTGGCGCACATGGCCCTCGAACAAGGCCAACCGGCTGTGATGGGGCAACAGGGAAGGGGCACGGCAGTGGTGTGGGGTTGCGTGGTAAGAGGGAGATAGCCCGTGTCAGTAACGGTTCTTGCAAACCTTCATCAGTAAAATCCCGAATAGAGGGAAAGAGGGAGACAGCGAGGAACAGAGTGTCATCGGTGCTGAGAATTGGTAAGCAAGCTTAATCATTGACACATGAATACCCTGTTCAATCTGTTATTTTTTTAGTTGCCATATCCACCAAGGGGATGTAGCTTAGCGCGCTAGAGGTTTTGGGATCGATACCCACTACTCGATATTAGGACCACAGCTTCAAGCAGAACCGTCTTTTCTCTCTCCACTCATAACAATTACCCTATACTGGAAGACTCCAGCTCACAAACATACACAGACACATGTGACCTCCCCGCCCTCCTCCCCTACCCCCCACATGCGACCTCCCCGCCTCCTCCTCCTCTCCTACCCCCACCTCACCTCTATGAGTCTGACGACAGCAGTGGCGTTTCTCTCTCTCTCTCTCTCGCCAGGTCCAAATCGCTCCTTCCATTGTTGTTATAACGCAGGCTGATTTACTCCACACATTCAAACTCTCTCTCCCCCGCTCGCACACCCAAACGCACATGCACACCAATGCGACCACCCCCCTCCTCACAGAACCCCACCTCACCTCTATGAGTCTGACGACAGAAGTTTCATTTCTCTCTCTCGCCAGGTCGAGAGCGGTTTTTCTATCATCGTTGGGGAAAAGGGGATCCGCTGCATTAGGGGTAGGCAGGGCAGGGGGGAACGAAAGAAAATAATTGATAACAAGAGTGAGTTGGGAAGACTTTCATGGCGGCAGCAGCTTAGCTCTGGGATATCGAACATGATGCATCGTGGTTTCAAACACATGGTTACCAGCTCACCTCCATGGTCCAGGAGCAGCTTCACCATGGCATCGAGCTTCTTACGAGCGGCATAGTGAATGGCCATGCCCCCTCCTGGACCTGCATGGTCGGGACGAGAGAGGGGGAGGGGGAGGAGAGATGTAAGCTATGGATGGATAGCTGTGCTGTGGCATGGTGAATGACTGTGCTGTGGCATGGTGAATGACTGTGCTGTGGCATGGTGAATGACTGTGCTGTGGCATGGTGAATGACTGTGCTGTGGCATGGTGAATGAATGTGCTGTGGCATGGTGAATGACTGTGCTGTGGCATGGTGAATGACTGTGCTGTGGCATGATGAATGACTGTGCTGTGGCATGGTGAATGACTGTGCTGTGGCATGGTGAATGACTGTGCTGTGGCATGGTGAATGACTGTGCTGTGGCATGGTGAATGACTGTGCTGCGGCATGGTGAATGACTGTGCTGTGGCATGGTGAATGACTGTGCTGTGGCATGGTGAATGACTCTGCTGTGGCATGGTGAATGACTGTGATGTGGCATGGTGAATGACTGTGCTGTGGCATGGTGAATGACTGTGCTGTGGCATGGTGAATGACTGTGATGTGGCATGGTGAATGACTGTGCTGTGGCATGGTGAATGATTGTGATGTGGCATGGTGAATGACTGTGATGTGGCATGGTGAATGACTGTGCTGTGGCATGGTGAATGACTGTGCTGTGGCATGGTGAATGACTGTGCTGTGGCATGGTGAATGACTGTGCTGTGGCATGGTGAATGACTGTGCTGTGGCATGGTGAATGACTGTGCTGTGGCATGGTGAATGACTCTGCTGTGGCATGGTGAATGACTGTGATGTGGCATGATGAATGACTGTGATGTGGCATGGTGAATGACTGTGCTGTGGCATGGTGAATGACTGTGCTGTGGCATGGTGAATGACTGTGCTGTGGCATGGTGAATGACTGTGCTGTGGCATGGTGGATGACTGTGCTGTGGCATGGTGAATGACTGTGCTGTGGCATGGTGAATGACTGTGCTGTGGCATGGAAGAAAGTGGTAGCATGGTGGTGGAAATCAGGTGGAAATCGGAGAGGAGGATTTAAGATTGGGGGCCGAAACCCCAAAAAACTCTGCTAATAGGCGCATGGGATGTATGCAAACGTGAGGATTGATTCGCAAAAGCAAGCCAGCATGCCCACCTTTGGAGTGGGCGCGAACAAGGGCGCCCATCTGCAGCAGAAGTTTCGCCGCCTCAAAGCCCTCTGCCCGGCTGCTGGCGAGAATGACTTTTGGGGCGCCTCAAAAGACAACAAGCCCACCTTTGGAGTAGGCGCGAACAAGAGCGCCCATCTGTAACAGAAGTTTCGCAGCCTCAAAGCCCTCTGCCTGGCCGCTGGCGAGAATCAACGGCGTGCGACCCTGGGAATCCACGCACTGGTTGGGGGAACGACGGGGACGAGGGGGAGAAAAAGCACAAAGCATTTGCTTTAACCTGTCTGCAGCAGCATCGCGAAAAAGGACTTGCCAGAAAGCTGCGGGAAAGTTGCAAAAAGGATACTTTTTGGATACCTTGGTTTTGCAACTTTCCAGTGATGGTCAAATGTTGCAGGAATCGTGGTTGCGGGAAAGTTGCGAAAAAGTTGCATTCCTGCAACTTTCCCGCAACACAACCGCAACTTATCGGACAATCTTTGGACACGTTGTGTATACATTTCAGTCACATGTATGCAGTTTCACCACCTGCCACGTGGCATGCGTACAGTTTCGACTTCGAAGTGAACGTACGCCGGTACGTTCGCGAAGATATTTTGCCACGTCAGCTACGATATTTCCGCCACGTGTCATTCGCGATATGTGGACTCAGGCGTGACACTTGGACCAATCAAACAAGCTGTGCGAACGTGGGAAAATTGATTTTAACAGGCCGTCGAATTGTCTGAAATCGGAGCATGCGTTTTAGTTACAGGTGTGTTTAAAAGTATTCAGTTTATACACTATATGTATTCTCTTGCACATTTGCATGCATACTTATCAGCATACACAGAGCACGATCTAGGCGAAAAACCAACACAGCTAATGCAACGACTACAGATCTTCAGGTCTCAATGGTAGATGAATATAGGGCGAAATCACGCTTCGTTTGCGGGCCTGCAAACAGAGATACGACATAGTGTTAGACATGGGTTAGTAGTCAGTAATTGTTCCCTACCTCACTGACCTACCGCCCGCGGGCCTTGAATTGAACTGATAACATTGCCATGAACAAGATTGACAACTCTGCGAAATCCCTGCGAAAAAAAAAAAAATGTATATATATCTCGTGGCAGCCACTGACTCTGCAACGGTCTTGGTACCACACAGGAGAAGACAGCTAAACGTTAGCGTTAGAGGCTGGATGGTATATAACTCGATACGAGCATGGGGAAGAAGCCACGACGATTTAAGAGATTTGCAAGCGGAGGCAAAGCGAGACCGAAGGCCTTCCCGCATGCAGAGAGCGTGCCGACGATCTGTGTATTGGGTGGATATGAAGCGGGAACATCAATGTAACTGATTAAAGTGGCACGGTGCAGCGCAGTTAATACAAGAGAAAATGTATCTGCATTCATTGCGGGAAGAACGAGAGGAAAACGAGAACTGAAGAAGCCTAACAAGTGCGAATAAATGACAAGTGAGGATCACAACAGGAGTGAGGAGAATCGTTTGTAAAAAAAATCACGCTTTCAGCACATAACACGGCGCTTCCGCTGCCGGGCAACGCGCTTTACGGCGCACCGTTCGTAGGTAGACGGGTGCTGAGTCCGCGGCGATTCGCGCGCAGAACGTCCTCTGCGTGGGGAGCGCAAGTCGATGAGCTGTATATGGGACGGGAGGTAGAAAAGAAGGGGACAGATGCAGGCTGAGACGGTAGATCTGGACAGATAGTAGCTTGAATACATACTTCCTATACTAGATTATTACACACACAGAAGGAAGAGCATACGGTATACGCTAGTTGATGCGTGAGGGGATATTCAGAGGCACGATATGCAGGCTGGACTGGAAGAATAAGCTGAGAAAGTTGTGTGACCAATGAGCTACGCAACTAGCGTGTTGTGTGAATATGAAAGAGAGATGCTTCTAGAGCTCCAAAGTGTGATGATGTGTCTTCACGGATGCCGTAGATTTCTGGTACTAGCATACATCGCACCAGTAATTGGTTAGTAAAAAATCATGAAGGTGGGGATAGCTCAATTCCGGTTACCTAAGGTGTGATCCGGGAAGCCACGTCACTTGAACAGAATCTGAACACTTACATTGATTGGGTGTGACATGGAACTGTATGCCAGCTGCCAGTTCCGATTCTGGGTTGTGCCTTCGCGAGCCTCGTCTGAGGTTGTATCCCAGTTACTGTGCTCGCCACGTTCGACAATGCCTGCCTGATTCGTGCTGTAGTGTTCATCGATCATACACCAGCAAAGGGGACTCCCGAGATTTGGTCGGACGAAGGTGTACTGTTCGGTGAAGATGTTTCAAGTTTGATGTGTGAAATTCGCGGCTCGGTAAACCCACGTATACAAAATTTGCGCCCCGGCCGACCCACGTAGCTCATGTTCGCGGCTCGGAAGCCAGCTTGTATCCGAAATTGGTGCATGTTGCGGTTTTCACTCAGTGCTTTTCGGATACTTTTCAGGTAGGTTTCTGCAACTTTCCTGCAGCTTTCAGACTTAGACTCGATTTTGAGCCAAACCCTTTTCCGCGATGAGGGTGCAGCGAGGTTGTTTTTGAAACGTCTCAAAAACAACCTCGCTGCACAAAGCACAAAGCATTTGCTTTAACCCATCTGCAGCAGAAGCTTCGCCGCCTGAAAGCCCTCTGCCCGGCTGCTGGCGAGAATTAAAGGGGTGCCACCCTTACCGTCCACACACTGGTGGGAGGATGAGGGGGGGACGGGGGGGGATGACGGGGAAATGAGGGGGGATGGCCGCGAAGAGGGACGAGGAGGGAATGCGGGGCTAGGGGGGCGAGAGACACGAAAAAGGTTTATCCTCCAGGGTTACTGTGTATCACCTCATGTATGACCTCTAACCCACAAGAGAATGTAACAGGTTACTGTGTAACCCGCGTCAGGCACGCTAGCTTCCAATAAGCCTCACATTGGCGCCAACAGGCATCGGCGACTTAAAGAAGCATGAATAACAACATTGAACAGATCGTTCCCGGATAAATGCTTATATAGAAGCTAAGAGAAGAGAGGAACGCGATTAAAAGTCTCACGTTGACCACAATGAGACTCACGTTGACGCTGGTTCCACGTGAAACCAGCTCTCGGATGGCTGACGTGTTGCCGATCACCGCGGCGTAAAGTATCTGCCCCTCTCTCAATCCACTCTGACCCATGATACTGCGCTTAGTATGCTTGTCAAGCCGCTTTACTACTACACAAATTCTGAAGTCAAACAGGCTCCTCCTTTCTCTGATACTAGCACTGTTGACAATATAACTTTCTTCGACACAGAGGAAACTCAAGCTAACAGATATCCACTAGAAACTAAGCATTTTATTCTTTGCGAAACTTAGGTGTTCAGTGCAAGGACGAGGTTGAACGCGGTTTAAGAGTTATTAACGTCGCTTTAACAACCCATTGACGGATTCTGACGAGGAAGATCGATCTGACCACGGAGCACGCTGCGAATTCGCGAAAACGTGGAAACGATTACAGAGTTATTTTCTCCAGTGCGGCTGCGAATGCGGGTACGGAGCTGAAGAAAGAGGAAGGATGGCATGGGGTTGGATGCGGCTGACCACCATCAAATAAGCGCTGAAGGTTCGGCGCAATAGAGCACATTGCAGTCGCTACATCCGAAGGCTGACCCAAGTCAGTGGGCAAGCTGACAGTTTCTAGGAAGAAGCTCCCGTGGCAGTTGCTCGTGGTTTTGACGTGTGAGGGCGGGTCCAACTTAGGGCAAGTCCGAAGTGAAACGTCGATGGATGTCGCTGGATGTCGGCGAATGTCATCCCTCGGATCGACGGTTCCAACCGTCAGGATTTACCGACATCCCCAAACGGATGTCAACGGATGTCGACGTTTCACTTCGGACACCCCCTTAGGGCGGGTCAGGCAGGTTCGTTTTAGCCATTTTCGTAAACATAACGCATTTTGTTTCAATTCCTCTAACTTTACCGTAAGGTGTTTTATGTACAGTTCGAGTCAAACTAGTTTTTTTTTTTTTTTTTTTCCGGATGCACTGTTCATTACCATTCAGGCAATAATGTTGACCATCTCGGCAATGCTGGCTACTTTTTGGGTTGCGAAGCAACCTATTACGATCAATTTGGACAGATTTTTTTTTCCACATTTTATTTATTTAAAATAAAATGTGAAATAAAAAAACAGGATGCACTAGTTGCTAGGTACATGACCAGTAAGTATTGTCTACATTCAATTGTGATGTGATGGTAGTGATTTTTCTGTTCGCACTACGACATATTTTTGTACGGTATGTTGGATGGTATAATGGTAATTACTGTTAAGTCTAAGTACTATACGGAAGCGATTAACTCAGTGCCACAAACATAAACTAGGCAACACTTAACATCACTTGTGAACCAAGTGAGTAGTTATGCCAAGCTTAGCTTGTAGAGTGAGTGTTCTGGTTGAGCAGAGTTTCGGCAGTACTCAGGTGTGTATCTACTCTCGTCAATACGTAGTAGTATATTGTAAGCTTGAAATCATGAAAGTATTGTTGAAATCAAAAGCAAACACAAGCACACATACATGAGAGGTCCTAGGCACACAAAGGAAACGCACAAGGCAGTTGTCTAACTGTCGTCCAGGTCTTCGCTTTGCTGTCATTGGAAAACGGTTGTAAAACTGCTTCAGAATTTGGCTTCATTTGCCTCTGTAGAATAACTGTCTTCAACCTGCACTGCTGCCAAATTCTCCTGCTGACTCCCCTCATGAACATTCATGATCGCTTGTGTACAAATCATGAACACTCGTGTGGGTTTACCGTTTTGTTCAGTTACAAACGGACTTTACCGTTTTGTACCTCTGTAAAAATA